AACAAATAGATCGGTTATGGGAGCAATTTCTCAAAGGGTGGATACCTTAACTGCCATACCAAAAAACTATCCAGTGGATAGTAGACTGAGTTTTGTTAACGGCGCTTATTAACTTTTCCTACCTACTGGGTAGGCGCTTATTCGAGGTTGGACACTTAATCGAATATATATCGCGGTATCTTTAGATCCCTGTCAGGATGACTGAGAGAGCTCATACCTGATCCAAGAGAGCTTGTTCTGTCCCTTCTGCCCTTTGGTGTCCCACCGCTACCTCTGCCTCTACTGGAGGAACGTCTGCGCCGGTGATGATCTTCATCATCATCATCATCAGAGCTCAAACCAGAGGAATCTGATGTACTAACAAACACAAAGGTGGCAACTGATGACGTGGGTGACAGTGTCGGAAGCATGGGTGTGTCGGGTGGAGATGCTGATTCTGATCCAGACACTGTAGGAGTGGTTGACCTGTCCGCTAGCTTCTCAGCGACTTGTTTGAGGAAATCTGAATGGGAATTAACTCGTTGAAATCGTTTTGGTGGCGTGCCTTCCCCCTTGATGATCTGCTTTGCATGGCTGCTCTCACCATACATGCTTCCTGATCTGTCCTTTGAAGATCTTTGAGAGGACACCAGTTGTGGGCGCGAGACTTGTACTTCAGATGAAACGACAGTTGCCCTTGTTGGCAAGGCAACAGACGTACCCAATTTGCGATGTAACTTGGGTGAATTAGGTGGCGAGTCAGAATCCATCTTGGTCCTTCTGTTCTGGGGTGCTGTTGGTAATTTAGCTCCCCTGAGGAGAATTAAGATACACATGGGTGCATTAGCCACTACTGAAGCCCTGATAAAAAAGCAAACACTAAAAGTAAAAACTGAGACTTGACTCAGCCAATCGTGATCACTACTTTATTTCCGTGTCAATTCGTTTTTATCTTGTTTACAAATGCTGCTGCTCTAGCGTTCTATCACGAATAGCGTTCTCTGCTTGGCTACGCTACTATCTATTCTGTTGCAGATAGTGAGTAGCGTAGCAGTGAGCGCTTGTTAACAAACTGGAGGTCGCTTCTTGNAATTCAATGTGATGATAACTGAATCGGCCTTTCGTCTCATAGACTATCATTCTGTAGAAATATTGAGCGCACATGTAATTGTTTAAAAGGTAGCAGGTTATAAAAATATAAGAATAGATGTGATATTTCAGGGGAAAAAAATTAAAACAGCGTCACTTAAATGTCAAACTCAGGACTTCCAAATAACTTTTGCCCTTTCACACGCCAAGAGTGTAACATACTGAATAGTCATGATTGAATTACTGTCTACTACGGTAATACAAAACCAACCGTTTGTCAAATGTGAGTGTGGCACCGTCCCATTTGTAAATCTGAAATCTTCTTCCTTAGTTGATCCAGATGAACCAGGGCGTGCTCCGTCGGGAGACATCCATCCTCCTCCCTGTAATAAAAGACACATGACCAATGTTTAATTCAGATTGTCATCAGATGATTATTATCACACGTAATTATGATTAATTCAAGCCCACAGCAGAACAAAGGTTACACATCAGAAAAGGTAAATCAGCAAAAATCTGCATCAGGCCAAGAGGTCCTTACTGCTGGTTGGAGCTTATCTCTGTCAGTGTTTTTCTATTTTCCCCTTGATGGGATCCTAGTCCATGAGCAGAGTTACTCCCAGCTTTAAATTAACTGGTACCCATTTATAGGACCGGTATTCTTTCTCATTCTCATAAAGTCACTCGTGAACTTAAAAACATACATGTACATGACTTGTACACAAAACTGACTTTTAGTTCTATTGACCTCAAATTGTGACTTGACATTTCTGCAGAGATTCAGGACAGATTTCACGTTACCATCAATAAGATCTGATGAGAAAAAGAACAACAGAAAAAAATAAATGTTTATTTAGTTTTTTACATCATAATTAGCTTATTTTGTTACAATACAATGTGCTGACAAATGATCACTTTGTAAGGTGGACTAATGAAAGATATTTGTGTAACAGATTATACTTGGGTCTGGCCCCATTTTATCAAATCATTGAAATCCTCAGATATCGTAGTTAACATGAATAATTCATTCTTACAAGGTTTAAGCACCTGACAGCATCTTTCTTTGCAACTACAGGAATTTGTAACTTCTTGCTTTAATCACTCAGATCCTTGTTTGATTGAAATGGTAACTGTAAAAAGTCATGAGCCGGGTTGTTCGAAAGCTGTTTAATACTAACCCATGGTTAAAAGTTAACCAAGGTATTCATATTTCTTGTATAAAAATGTTTTTCACTGCTTTTGAGATTGTTCAAACCCAAAACAGAAGAACAAACAATGTCAACAGAAACCCTCAAGGCAAAGTTACAAAACTGAAATCAAAATTCTTGCTTGTCCTGGGTTAGCTTAATCAGCTTAAACAACCCAGCCCTGAAATATCCATATCTAGTAATAAAATATTAGGTTCTTGTGTTCAGAATCTTTATTAGAATTGTTTGCAGAATCTTTTGACAATTTCATCTAATCAATCAAAACACATTGTATGTAGATGTAAACTATGTACGCACACATGTACCTCCAACATAGATTCCCTGTAGGTTTATATTTCTGTTTCCCATGAAGCTCATACATAGCTGAAGATTCTCCAACTTCTGGGCCCTTGTTATAGGACGTGCATAAACCCCTGGAATCTTCTGACCAGCTGTAAAGAAAAAAACAGTAAAAACAATGTAAATATATAAATTAATTATTATTATCAAATCTGTCACTTTTCAATGTCAGTCTCCTTAATTTACATCACAGAATCTCCAGCGTGCAAAGAAAGTTATCTCTGATGGCCTGTGCCCTGCAAGAGCATCCGGTTTTTTCAGCTCTTGTTTCATGCGCCGACAAAAATGCAAGAGCCAAAAAATCTGAATGCTCTCACAGGCTGGATTGCCCTAGCCTAGCAGATTTTGCAGTCAGGCTAGTTAAGTCTATCTTTCACTTGCCCAACAGGAAAGTGAAGTTCCTTGGNTGGGGGGTTTGGTGAAACCAAAAAAATTAAATTGTAATATGAAGCTGTATTGGAATTTCCAGAGGGGTGGGGCAAGGGGGACCCAAAAAAAATCCCTTCCGTGAGGGAGATATGGATATTTTCTGGACATACAAAATATGCTATTCAGTCTTTAATACTAAGTTAAGTTACGTAAACTAAATTTTGCAAAAGAAATGAAAAGAAAGGAAACAGAATGAAAAAAGATGTCAGCCAGAAAAATGGAGGATGTCGAGTATCTTAGCCAAGGCTCCTTTGAAAGCATAGTTGACATGAATGTACAAAAGTGAGAGCTCTCTGTGTGATAACCTTCAAGAGGAATATAAAGCAACATCAACAGAAGTAGAAAGTTTGCCTTTAACTTCCAAAGTTTTGTATTTTGCAAAACAGGCTTTTCAAAAGGCATTGTGCGACCATAAGTTAGAAGTAAAAAGAAAGATGTAGAGGGGTGCATCTTGTGATGAATATACCAGATTTCATGTACAAAAATCTCTGTACCTCATTAACATGAAGAAAAATAAACACTATTAATAGCATCATGCAAAGTTAGATGTGAAGTGCTGTGCAATAGCCCAGGACTAACTAAAGACCAGGGTGCTTTTTTCAAACAGAAGCCACTGGATTTCTTTGACCACCACTTCTACAACTGATCAGGACAAAGTAATTGAGGTGACTGAAAAGTTTGGGCTAGCATACCATGGCTCCAACTTGCAGAAGGCCAACCTATAAAAGGCCACACACTAACCGTTCACATTCCACTTGGACATTAACCACAAAAGCTAAATGCAAGCTCGCAATTTTTACAGTGGTTAAATTCATCCTTTAGGAAATAAACCAGCAGTGGCAGAGCTAGGGGGTGTAGTAGAGCAATCGTCAAAATGGGAAGTTTGAAGCATCCAAAAAGTGGGGCAAAAACGAGTTATATGTTTAAATCTAAATGTTTAAATTTGTTAATTAGCTGTAAGTTATGAAAATCAGAGGGAAAGAATATGAAGAGCCGAAAACAAACAACAGCAAGCAGGAAACTCTTGCATGCCCTCCCTCCCCCCTTCCCCCAATGCAGTTCTTAACCACACTAAACACTTCGCAAGTCTTCATACTCCCACAATTAAACCAGGGCTGTGCATCAACAGTGTGGAGCTTAAATGTGGCCTCTTCCCTGATGGAGGCAACCATGGTTTATTATTGCCAGTGTAATTGCCGATATCTAACTTCTCCGCTTCAGGTTCGCAATTGTGAATATGATCTCAGGGGGTTTAAAAAGCTCCTAATGTACTGAAGGTGGCCACCACTACTTTTGGACTGAACAGTTTCCACCTTCTGTCTATTTCTGCTTGGAACTCTCTTTAGCATGATATAAGAAGGGCACTGGATTTAACTAGTTTTAAGAGTCAGTTAATTTTTTAAAATTATTATATATGTGCTTGTAAATAATGTGTAGTATCATTTGTAGTAAGTAGCACAATTTTAATAACGAGTCAGAGATGCTAGCATTTTTGTATGCTAATCAAAAATCTGAATTTAAATAAAGATATGTATGGATACATGTATAGGTATGACTGTATGACAAAATACCCTTGGAATTGGCCTAAGGGTCAAGGCTTTTCATTTCCTAAATCACTGCCTGCTCAACCTTTACTTCCTTGGCTGATGTCACCATGGGACCACCTAATACAACATTCCGGCCTCTACTCATGAACAGACCACCAGGTTGCTTTCAAACACCAAGCCTTACTCACTCACTCATCCTCTTTGCCCCTTTGTGAGTGGAGCATAAGGCCACAAACACCAAGCCTTATTTAACAAAAACTCTGATCAAGCCTCCATCCCAAAAAATAGATCTGAAGCACAAATCCTCTGAGAATGTATATCTAACCACATAGGCATCGGTAAAGCTCTCACTGGTAAATGAACACCTCAAAGATTTTAAAAGGGCGGTTGCAACAATTAGTAAGGGGCCTGAAAAAGTGTATATTCAAAGGAAAATGATTCCAGTTCGAGGTAGTGGAGAGTTTGAGAAAACTGAGTTTGAGATTAGTGTTGACTGGTGGCAATCAGTCTCTCTCGGGTGATCACTTGGAAGAGATTAATTTACAAAGAAAAGGTTCAGTTGTGAATACTAAAGGTGGTTGTGGTGGCTTATAAGCAATCAAAACTAGAAAATTCACATGGCTGGCCATATGAGGTGCTGGTTGTTAGGGGTTTCATTAAGGGCCAGGCAGCAGGTGAATTGACCAGTTGTAAGGACTATTTTCACTGCCTTGTTTGACCATCTAGTGGAAAGTTTTTCTTATAGAGAAGTTCAGTTCAAATAGTTTTGCCTGCCTGTGAAAACCAGTTTCCCTCCTGCTGAAAAAGTATAGAGAAGTTCAGTTCAAATAGTTTTGCCTGCCTGTGAAACCAGTTTCCCTCCTGCTGAAAAAGTTAATAGAACCTCTGGGTTGTTTACAAGAATGGTTGAAGGGGCTTAGACCAGCATCTTACCTTATTACAGATATACAACATTTTTGCAACATCAAATTTTCACATAGAAATTGTTTCTATAAAAATTCTGGAAAATTCAATGCTTTAAAAAAAATGAGAAAACTAGTTTATTTCATAAAGGAGACATTACAAAATTGCTAGATTTTAGAAAATTAAGTGTCACAAAATATCACTCTACAAAATAATAAAAATAACTTGACACCTCAAAGTTTCATGCATGGAACGAGTTCAATTTCAAATTATTTTTTTAAATGATCAAATATAATTTCTTCCAATTTATTATGAAGCTCTCTAAAGTACAGCATGTTTTGAATCATTTTGTACTAAAAATCATTTTGTTTTGATAGCTTTTTATTCTCATCACCATCTGTTTAACGACGTATTGAACAGATCGAGAACAGAGAATTTAAATTTTGATCACCACTGAGATAAACAAACATACACTGTACTGCCTGAATGTTCTTCTGCAGTGTGCTTGTGGTTTAGGAAAAATCCACATTATATTGACTTTTCACACAACATCAACAGATCAGACAATGGCCAAAATCAGATCAAATTTATGGCTGAACTTTAATATTGTTATATTTGACCGCCCGATCAGTAACCACAGGAAATATATACTTACAAGTAACCCTAGCAGAGAATAACAAATTTTCACACTTTGTGCCAAAGATGAGCTTCCTTGAGACGGAAAGAGAGAGAGACCAGATTTAACTTCAAGTGTCTTACTTAACTGCAAGCGGAACTGTCGGAGCGCAGGGTTGTGAAAGATTAGCATACATATGTAGATCTCTTGTGGAAACATGTATCAGTTAATCTTGCTTATTCCTTTGTTTTCTTTACACGAGTAAGACCGATATAGATGCGTTTGACGGATGCCAGAAACAAAGAAGAATACTGTAATTGCAGTCTCAAATATATATCATCACCTACCCAGCGTTTCCAAAATGTAGACCAAAGTTTGCCCATCGCCCATCGAACGACGGATGTCGGAAATCAGTCGGCGCTTTCCTTTCTTTAGCAACTGATTAGCCCAGGATGTGTGTTCCTTTCGGATAGAAGGTATAAATCTATTAATAACAAATACACACACAATCTAGAATCAACAAGTGAACACTTAATGGCTAAGGACCTACACACAGAATGCGTAGCAACTGAAGTGTACATTACAACTTAGGGTCGTTTTGCATTTATATGTAAAGTTTAACCCAACTGCGAAGCACTACGTCGCCAATTGATAACAGTCTTTGCCCGCATTGAATCACAACGCGTGTTTATACAAATTTAATGAAGTTTAACTTAAGTTATAGTTATGCACCTGGCATTCCTTCAGCGCCCATTCGCCAGTTACGGAAACTTTCACTGGTGCGTTCTTCGAATGAAACGCCGGGAAGGCAGTGGCTTCTAATTTTCGGCCGCGTGGGTTCGCGGCAGCGAACGTTTGCTTCGAGAACGCCGTTCCTTCTGCAACGGGATGGCGAGATACGTCCGCTGAATGTGAACTTGTGTTCTGTGCCGATGTGACCCTTGCTAGGGAACTTGTAGGCTGTAGTTCGACCTCATTCTGCCAACTTTGCTGCGGACATAATCATTGCGGATGAGAGTTCACTCCAGATTTCAAATTCTTGCTGTCAAAGCAAAAGAGCGAAATAAATCGAACAACATCATAGAGCGTGGCTTACCACAGGTTGACCGCCAACCCCGATTTTCAGCTTCCTAGAATGTCCGCGGTTATTCCTTATGTCCGTCATTTATGAAAGTTAGCATTTGCTTCCCTAAATAACCATCTTGTAGAGAGATAAGCGAGTTTAATTTGCCGCGACGTAACACAACACTCGGTGTAAAATTGTGCGGCCCCACTGACGTGCGTGTCAATTTCATTCTCAAACCATTGTCCGTTTCCTATTGGCTGAGACAACTATCATCCCCCGCCAATTAACTTATTACAGTGTTTTTGTTGATTCACGTAATTTTTGTGGGTGCTCTACAAGAGGCTTTTCACAATCCAGTATTTTGGGAAATTAGATTTTACTTTAGGCGGGCATAACTTTGAGTTGCAGTGCTTTTTTCCAAGTGCCTGTTCATTACAGACATTGTGAACCCACTGAAAGTCACAACATCGCGAGAGCGCTTTAGGGGTCCTTCAGAGAATTTTAAAGGTAACTGAAAGTTCGTTTTCAGCAGTTCGAAAACCACAGTCTGATGAAGTTGCAACTCTGCACGCCACCATACAGGTTGGCTTAATAATAATTCAATAAAAAGATTACGTATAAAGCTAAGATTAGAAAGCTAAGCTAATACTTCACTGCTTAGCACAGAGCTTTTATTTTTATCTGCGGTTTTACGAGAAATCAATGCAATACGACAACGGTCTTCGTGACAACGGGAACGTACCTCGAAAGATTATTGATGTTTCACGCTGATACACAGCGTGTTTTGATAACTTATTGCGTGATGTATCAAGGTATTACGTCGCGTTTTATCGAGCGAACGATCAATTCGATCTCGGTCGATCATGCGAAGCAAATCTGCTTTGTTGCTTTGTTTTGTTCACATGTGAAACAAAAAGCAATGCAATGTTTGATGAATACTGAATTCCACGCGACTCTTCGTGCAGGAATTATAATGGACATGAGTAACACGCAATCTATGGATCAAACACGCTGCTAGACATCCTGCGGCTTAACGCGTCACAACTAAAGTGGCTCGTCAAAAGAAGTTATGTGGTTTGGCCTCTTGGCTTGGCAGTCGGCAGCTCTTCTAAATGATTGTCCTGGTTGGCTGCCTTTATTCGTGTCTCTTAAGAAAGAAACAAGTAATTTAGGTCAAAGCCTTTGTTTGATCAGGTGATAAACTGCAGTCGAAAAAGATGGCATTCGCTATGTGAACTGCATGGGTGGCGCTCCCGTTGCGCTAATTTTCGCAAGTTAGACGATTACTTTTCATGACTCTTACATGACCAATATATGAGAACTGATTTGTTTGCCCACATACTGTTGTACATATATAAATTATACTCTGTGGTAACTTTGCTAAGAGAAGTGCAATGAAGTAAACTTTCATAGCAGGTATTCAACACTTAGGAACTTGTTACTGAGCCGCAAGGAGCGAGCTGCAACCAGTTATAGCTCAATAACATTCCTTTCAGGTAAAGTTAGCCAACTGCATTGTAAACAGCGTTGAGTATTAAGCTTATACGTACTGGGCGGAAATGTCGCGCATAAGGCTGTATTTGTCATAAATGTACCAAGCTTATGATTAACCGCGAATCATTTTTCAGCTACCTCATTTTTGAGCGTAACTGTAAGCTTAAATAAGTTTCTCTTTGAATGAAAATAGCGTCTAGATCTACTGAGAAATTAAGCCGCGACGTGGCGGCGGCGGGGAGGGGGGGGGGGGGGGGGG